GAAATATAGTTTTAAGTTTTTATAGTATATAAGAAGAAATATACTTTTTTAGTTTTGTGCTATATTCATGGGATATAGTGCTCAATATAGAACATATGTGAACATTGAAGTCAACACTCAGAGGCGGCAGGCTGTTTCATGCTGGACGCAATATATATATATATATATATATATATATATATATATAACTTGCTTCTTATTATATAATCTAGCACATCTTCGTTAAAAACAATGAATACAGTGCTGAACTACTATGTAATATTAATTTTCTTATATGGCATTGAATGCTGAACAATTTCCTCACAGATGAACAGAGGACTTGAAGCAATGGTGACATGGTCCCACAGAAAATGCTGGAAATGCCATGGTTGGAGCATATGGCCAACGCGCAGATTTTAAAGAAAATGCAAGCACAAAAGAAAATTGTGCTTAGAAAAAGATAGGTGAATCTTTTGGGAGATAAAACAATGAAAGGGTTTGGGGAAATTGGTACTCTCAGGGCATTAAAAACAGCGGTAACAGAGGGAAACAACGAGTAACTTAACTAACGATCGAGGCAAATAGGTCGCAGAAGAGCGGTGAGAGAGGGATAGTAAGGAAATAAACATTGCTTGTAGCTAAAATGAATAGGATGTTGTGAAGAGCTACAACTCCTCATGTTCTGAAACGACACGGCACATAAAAGAATCTGGATCATAATGGCATAACAGACATTAGAAAACGCTTTATTCTAAACTTTTAGTTCAATAATTTATATTCTTTTCTTGCGGACAGATTTATTTTTACTCCGGTGGCAGTGGAGACTTCTGGGGTTATTGGCCCTCGTTCGATGACGTTCCTTCGGAGGATTGGCGCGATAGCGTCTCGATTAAGGGATGAGCCTCGTGAAACAGAGTGACTCTTGCAGCTTGTCTCACTGGCGGTGATGCGATGTAATACTTTCTCCATCATTGCGGCTGGCAGAGGATAGCAAAAAAAAAAAACATTTTTCTTTTGTTTATAGATACTTTGTTCAAATAAATATTTGCTTTTTAAAGTATAATAAATTTGATCAGGTCTGTGGTTGGGCGGGGTCTGTCGCTCGGGACGCGGTGATAAAAAAAATAGTTAATTATTCTTCTCTGGCGGACAGGTTTATTTTAGTCCTGTAGCAGTGGAGACTTCTGGGGATATATTGGTCCTCGTTCGATGACGTTCCTTCGGAGGATTGGCGGGATGGCGTCTCGATTAAGGGACGAGCCTCGCTAAACGGATTGGTCCTTGCAGCGTGTCTCACTGGAGATTGTTCGAGGTAATCATCATCTTGCGGCCTCAGCCGAGATTGAACTCACTAATACTTTGATTGGTGTAGTTCATAATCTTGTCAAATAGCTGAATTCTTGATGCTTCGCTAGGGCTATCAAGAGTGTTTTTATCGTGACACCAACACTAAAAGGATTGCCAACCAAGGCTCAGAGAGACTCCATTCACCCTCCTCTAAGAGCAGGTTTGAATTCAGAGTTTTCCTTCTCCTAGACCAGTTGCCATCCAAGGCTATAGAACCTAGTTTGTCCTGCTATTTACCCATAGCTGGAGGGAGAAGAAAGAGGATTCACACCTTTCCCAAGGGTGTTAGCACGTAAGTGAATGTAATGGATTCGACTGGTATTCGAACTCGGCTCTCCGAGGTAATACTTTCTCCAATTGTGGCTGGCAGAGGATAGCAAAAAAAAATCATTTTGTTTTTGTTTATAGATACTTTGTTCAAATAAAAACTTTGTTTCAATTTTAAAGTTGGGGAAGTCGTTGATTTGGGATGCAACCTGTGCCGATACATTTTCGACCGGTAAATTTATCAGGTCCGCCGTTGAGCCCGAGGTCTGTCGCTCGAGATGCGGAGATAAAAAAAATACTTAAATATTCTTCTCTTGCGGACCGATTTATAGGGACTTCTGTGGTTATTGGCCCTCGTTCGATAACGTTCGAAGGAGTGGCGGGATTGTGTCTCGATTAAGAGAAGAGCCTGCTGAAACGGAGCGGCTCTTGCAGTTTGTCACACTGGCGATGATGCGAGGTAATATTTTCTCCATCATTGCTGCTGGGCAGAGGATAGAAAAAAACCATTTTGTTTTTGTTTATAGATACTTTGTTCGTTTTTCAATTGACCATATAAATATACAATAGCGTTTCTAAAATAAATCAGTTGACCATATGAATAAACGCATTCTTTTTAAAATGACATTTTTTATAATAAATTTTAAAAAGTGTCAAAAAAAAAAAAATGTGGAGATTCAGATTAGAAGGATGAATCTTCTGCCATGTGGTGATTTTTTTTTACCAGAATAGTAACATTATCGTCTTGCCTGGGGTGAAATGATTTAAAAAAGAAAAGAAAAAAAAAAAAAAAAAAAGAAAAGATAAATAAGCCCAGAAACGTTTCGTTCAATGATTACTGAAATTTATTTGCTTAATTCATTTCATTTTTATAATTACTTTGTCACGTAAATCAAAGACGACTTAATTGGGTGGGGGTGGGGGGTACTTTCGTTCACTCTGTCGTTCAATGGGCTTCATGTATAAAGTAAAATAGAGTCCAACCTGAAATATTGTTAATATTTGCCTTAATTTAAGAATTATAACAAGGAATATATTATTAATAATAGCAAGAAAGTGCTCACAATCCTCATATGCCAAACAGAAACTGTAAAGTGCATCTTTGAAACGAAAAATTAAAAATTCCTGATTTACCGTAATTCCTTATATATAATACGCATTTTTTCTAAAAAAAATAAGAAAAATCAAAGGTGCGTATTATGCATAGCTACAAAAATTTTTAAAAAATTGCCATAAAATAAAATAAGAAATATCATAAAACTAAATTAGATTAACATTATTCTGTTTAAAATCATTTAAAAAAAATAACACTAGGAAAGGCTGGCCTTAATGAAATTGGAAAGTTACAATTTATAGGGTTTGATTACCAAACAAGGGGTGCGTATTATGCGCCAGCAGAAGAATTTTCCGACACTTTCAGCACAATTTTAGGGGTGCGTATTATGGATGAAGGCGTATTATACATGGGGAATTACGATAGTTGGAATAAGTATGTCTTCAAATTCAAATAAAAAAGAATACATCTGAGAATGAGCAAAAAATATATAATTTCTTTACACACACATAAAAATTAATGTATAACGTAATTCCCCATGTATAATACGCATTTTTTCTAAAAAAATAATAATCAAAATTAGGGGTGCCTATTATGCACAGCTACAAAAAATTGCCGTTTCATAGGTCGATTTCAGTTGTGAAATGGCTACTCACCACAAAGATACGACAATTTGACACTAACATTCGGTGATTGCGACCCCATAAGGATGTCAAATACAATCATATGTACCTAAAAATACTTACAAATGTAAAATAAAATAAGAATTATCATAAAACTAAATATGAATAATATTATTCTATGTTTAAAACCATTTTTTGGGGGAAAAACTTTATACACATCCGGTAGATTGCACATTTTATCAAACAAAAACAGGTTAATGAGTCTGCGCAGTAGGCACAATATAGGAATTTCCGTTTCCCTTTAGAATCGTCATGATCGGAAAGTTTGATAAATATCTTCAATTACAGCTTCAACAAGAGTAGGAAACGCTGGCCGTAATGAAATTGGAGAGGTACAATTTATAGGGTTTGATTACCAATCAAGGGGTGCGTATTATGCGTGAGTAGAAGCATTTTCCCACGTTTTCAGCACAATTTTAGGGATGCGTATTATGGATAAAGGCGTATTATACATGGGGAATTACGGTAATAAGAAGAGAAATATTGCGCCCTGAATTTACAGAAATAACTATTTCGCTTCAACGCGTCAAACAGCTACATTTACATTTATGGTGCGTGAAATGTTTCTAATAAGGATGTAAATCTATTAAATCTGTTGGTAGATTGATTGATTAGTTTTTTACGGTTTATCAACCTTTTGTAGGTTATTTAAAACCGAAACACATTTAGGATTATACGAATATTTTTTTTTTTGCGAGGGAATATTGCATCAACAATATTTAGAGATGGCAATGAGATTTCAGGTCCTTTTATTTAACCCATAGATGGGAGCAGAAGACATGGATTCATGCCTTTCACAAGGATATTTACACATAAGTGAATGTAACGAAAGTGACTGGAATTCGAACTCGGCTCTCAGGTTTTGGGGCGAGTGAATAATACATTAATCATTTTTTGAGAACAAGATTGACTTTTTTCAGATGCAACGTTTAATATCTATTTCTATTTCTGAGATGGGATATTGTAACTATTGAGATTGTTCGGACTGCTGTTCTCATCTTTATTGCCATATTTACAACGTTTCGGCCACTTTACGCCCCGGCCTTCTTCAGGTGATATTTGTTGGTATTTCGAAGCGAACCCTTTCTTAAAACACTCTACCCCCCGTGGGCTAAATAAATTCCAAAAAATATCACATGATCTGTCTATATTTCTGAGATGAGGTATTATGTACATTATTCGGACTATTGTTTTCATCTTTGTCGCCATATTTATCATTTAATAAATATGGCGACAAAAATGAGGACAATCGTCCGAATAATGTATACAATGTAAATATCACATGAATATGGCAATAAAGGAGGCACGTTGGAGCAATGGATAGCGGCTCGGATTGAGGAATCGAAGAGCCGAGTTCGAATTCCAGTCGAATCCATTACATTCACTTACGTGCTAATACCTTTGGAAAAGGTATAATCCTCTTCTTCTCCCCCCAGCTATGGGTAAATAGCAGGACAGATTGGGTTCTATAACCTTGGATGGCAACTGGTCTACCGCAGAAAGAAATGGCAACCTACTGCGGAGAAAATTCTACCTCGTCAGTCATGTATCGAAAGATACATGATCACCTAAACGTGTGCCATGCATGGCAATAAAAATAAGGACAACAGTCCGAAAAATGCAACTAGTTTCAAAAGCAAGTTTCAAGCTTTAACCCACTGCTGGGGAAAATGAATTTATACACTCTCTCCAAGAGTAATGTTGAAACAAAAAATAATAAAACATTACCAAAGATGTTCTGGTGATGAAAAAGTTTCTGTCATAATTCTAAAGGGTTGGAGAATTTAATTGATATGTCCCAGAACGAATCTTTAAATGTAACGAGACATTTTTTTAAAAAATAAAAATGCACATTAGACCCGCCAGTCAAGAGAGTGAAAAAACAGTCACAAATATTGGAATATCAGTTTAAAGTTTGGTACGATGAAGCAAAACTGCCGTTCGTATGATAAAGCCCGGGTTAGTCGACAGAAGAAAAACACCACGTGCTTTGAAAAACAAAAAGAAAAAAAGAAAAAAAATGATCAGTCATTGTTTTTTGTAAAATAATCTGACAAAAAGGTGGGGAGGCAGTTTTGTTTACGGAATGATTCCAACAATGTTTCGTTCCAACTGAGAAACTATTCTTGGAAGACGAACGATTGTAATTCAAAGACATTTTAAATAATAGACAACGCACCTGAACATCTTGAATCTGTTTCTTAAAAAAAATAAAAATGCCGAGGTAGTGTCTTCAGCTCCAAATATAACCCCATTAATCCATCATAAAATTCAAGATGTGGAATGAGTAAATACTAAAAAAGTGCCTCAATGTGTATAGAAGGACTGGCGTTAGGACATCACAAACAAAGAATTGTACATATTATAACAGAAACCACATCACTTGAGGACTTTCAACTGCGGTAATAATTAAAATGGATAACATATGTAACTCGAAGAAAGTATAAAATAATTAACATATTTATTTTTAACACTGCTTATAAGGAAACGGCTAATATTACCCTTATTATTAGTAATACCATTATAATATATAATATTATTCCTATTACTATTACCATTATTATTACCATTTATATTACCATTACCATTAATATTACCATTTAAAATACCATTAATATTGACATTACTATTACCATTATTATTACCATTTATATTACCATTACCATTTATATTACCATTACCATTTATATTGCCAATAATATTGCCATTACCATTAATATTACAATTACCATTAATTTACCCTTTATATTACCATTATTAATACAATTACCATTAATATTACCATTACCATTAATATTAACATTTATATTACCATTATCATCAATATTACTACTTAAATTACCATTAATATTGCCATTACCATTTATATTACCATTACCATTAATATTACCATTACAGTAAATATTACCCATAATATTACTATTACCATTAATATTACCATTACAGTAAATATTACCCATAATATTACTATTACCATTAATATTACCACTAATATTGCCATTAGCATTAATATTACCATTACAATTTATATTACAATTAATATTACAATTACCATTAATATTACCAATAATATTCCCATTACTATTAATATTACAATTACCATTAATATTGTCATTACCATTAATATAGCATTACCATTAATATTAGCATTTATATTACCATTAATATTGCCATTACCATTTATATTACCATTACATTAATATTACCTGTACCATAAATATTACCATTACAATTTATATTACCAGTCAATGTAATAATGATAGTATAACAATTACTATTAATATTCTCATCACCATTTATATTACCATTACCATTTATATTATAATTAATATTAAAATTACCATTTATATTACCATTAATATTACCATCGTATGTTAGTTTTACCGACACAATAGCTGCACTCGATATTTAACCATCTTTTGTGCAGCTTCAGAGTTCTGAATTCAGAGTTGTTCTTCTCCTACACTGGTTGCCAAGTATAGCAGGTGAGCATTCTGCATTGCTATTTAACCTAACCGACTGATTCATGCCTTTGCCTAATAGCATTTGCGCGAAAGTGAATGCAACGAATTCGACCGGACTTCGAATTCGTCTCGATAGATTTCTTGTTCCGAGCCGCTAACATTTACACTAAGGGTGTGCAAGTTCTTTAGCTGCTGAGCGTTAGATCAACGACGTTGTTTCCTTGATCTGCTGTTCATTTGCAAGATTTTGGTAAATAACGCCGTCTAGAACGGCTTATGTCCTTGGGTAGAAACTGCTATTCCCCATTTGCCAACTGCTATTCCCCATTTGCCTAGAAAGTATGAGACATAGCCAATAATAATTTACACTATTTACATCATTCGGACTGACATATTCACGACGTTTCGGCCATTGTACGCCCCGGCCTTCGTCAGGTGATATTTGTTGCAATTTATTTGATCCACGAGGTTACATTGTTCTAATAAAGGGTCCAGTTTGAGATTCCGACAAATATCACCTGAAGAAGGCTGGAGCGTACAACGATTGAAACGTCGTGAATATGGCAACAAAGATGAGGACAAGGGTGTTATAACCTTGTACATAATACTAGACAGATATTAGTTGATAACACAATAATACTCACACATACACACAGTAAAAAGAACCTTCAGATATTGGAGGCCATCTACATTAAAACAAAGTAACCGACACTCAACAAAATTACATTTCAAACTAGTCACAACACATTAAATTGCGTCTAGACATTGGTTCTGTTGTAATACATCGGCCTATTGCGTTGTATGACGTCATAGAACTGCATCTTGAGTTTACGATCTGCGTCTTCTATTCCAGGATCGTTATCGTCGCATAGCAATATTCTATGTCAAAATAACAAAATATCAGCTTTGACGGTGGATATCTTTGTTTCATGTTAGTATAACCATTCTGAGGATGGCTCATGTGAGCCGAAAGCTTAGGATTAAATTAATAAAAAAAAAATCCAAACGCATAATGTTTTTCTTTATTCTTACCAGAAATTAAATCAAACATTCGAATATTAGAACGGCTCATGATCAGACATAACAGACATTCATTTTCTGTTATATTTAATTATATATATATTAGAGAGAGATAGATAGATAGATAGATAGATAGATAGATAGATAGATAGATAGATAGATATACACAATGCAATTCGATTACATATAGATAAATATAAGACAAATAAACGAAATAATATTAACATAAGGCAAATTTTTCCTCTATCTATCTATCTATCTATCTATCTATCTATCTATCTATCTCTATATATATATGTGTGTGCGTGTGTGTATAAACTAACAAAGTTTTTCTTATTTAACAGTTAAAATATTTAATACTTGAAAATGGGTAAATGTATAGCCGAAAGCGGTCGGATAAAAAGAACATTCGGACAGTTTTTATATAATTTATCATCTGAAAAGAAAAAAACATTATTAGATCGCATGAGAAATTGTCTAAAAAACTAAATCTAAGCACCTTGTCTGTCGTATTCAATGAAATGTTCATGAAAGAATGATTGCTGCCTAAATACAAAATACATACATACATATATATATATATATATATATATATATATATATATATATATATATATATATATATATACATACATACATATATATATATATATATATATATATATATATTGTTCTCATTTTCTTGGCTTTTAATTCCTCTAATTTTATTAAACGGTCTGTGAAATCTACATTCTCTGGCTCTTGTAATAGAAGAGAAGCAACCAATATTAAATAAATTCATCACCATATGGGACTATATATTAAAATGTAGTAAAAAAAAAAAATTCAAATCACATAAAAATTTCAGTTTGTGCCGTTTATATGACGTCACTTTGATTCCATCAAACGTGAGAGGACCGGAATAATAATAATAAAAAAAACGTTGCATAAATATATACACAAAATACAATAGTTGAAAACGAATATAGCAATCTACGAAAGTACTCGAAATAAAAAAAATAATAATATAAGATAAATATAATAACTAATTCGGAAATATGAAAAATTAAATAAAAAAATTGGTAAAACGAACTTTTTTTTTTTTTTTGGCTGTGTGTCATTCAGCCCAGAAAGCAATCGGTGATTGAAAGGAGTCGACAGTCTCCTGGAAAAATGTCATAGTGCCAACCTTTTAGATAAGACCTTAAACAACGGCCAACTATGGGTCAAGCAATTAGATGGTCATGAATTTTGAACTAAATGCGTCTCGTGATCAAATCCGGCGGAAGAGTCATTTAGAGAATTGTTCTCACTTTCTGGAGTTTGCCCGGAATATAAATTCAGAATGACATATGTTCATTATACACCGGGGACTGGCTTCATTATTCGGTGACAGTTATTTTATTTATTTTTTTTTTTTGCTTAAGAAAATGATGATAAAATCCGACCCTATGCTCGAATATATTCGGTAAGTGATGCTCATTACCACATGTGTTTCCTGATATATTTTGACATTTAGAATCGGAAAATAAGAAAAATGTCCAGAAAATATTTTATAAAAATAAAGTGTTCATTTTTTCGGCAAAGAATTCCGAACTAATGTTTTTACAAAAGAAAACAGCAGATCGTATCAATTTTAAATTCTGGCAATTGCGTTCATTTACGCTCTAAAGCTTTTAGGAAAGGAATGGACCTATCTCTTCTAACCCCTCCAGCTATGGGTTAAAAAGTGACAACTAGGCGGAAAGAAGTAATACGCTTAATTCCAGAAATGGAGAAGGCAACAAGATCTATTGATTTGTTTTTACGGCTTATCAACCTTTTGCAGATTATTTAGGGAATGTAAAGAACTGGACTGGAATTGGAAACCGGACCTCCAATTAACAATTCCGAACCGTGATCCATTAAACCCTCCGCGCATCCAATACATCAACTAATATGCCAAAGCAGTCATCCATCCAACTACTGATCAAGCTCGGTATTGATTAACTTCGGTGATCGTACGGGAACCTATGTTTCATCGTGATGCGGTCGTAAGCGTGCTTGGAAAAGAAATTAATATGTTTCTTCTACAGTCCTCTCCAGCTATTAGTTAATAATTGACAACTAATCGAAATGAAGGAAAACTTTTAAATCTAGAAATGGAGAAGGCAACAGAAAAATTTCTTGTTAACCTGATGCATTTGAAAATCTTTATAAATTAGTTTTAAATGACGTGAAATAATCATCAGCAATATTATGGAGTAATGCTAATTCCTCTTGTTTACAATATATATATATATATATATATATATATATATATATATATATATATGGGGGGATTTTTAATTAAATGCTATTCAGAATGTACACCATAACAACACATTCGATAGATTTTTATTAATTAGACGTTACATTTAGTTGATATTCATATTTGTGTAGACCTTCCGTGTATTTTTAACGTATTTATTTTCGTCAACCGACCAGAATAATCTTTAATAACATTTCTCAAATATCCAGGCCGGTAGATGAAAATAAATATACTGCTTAGAATAACCGGAGCGTCCACTCAAATACTGGTATCCATTAAAAATTAAGTAATGAGGTCTGATGATCCACAGAGAAAAAGAAAATCTCTGGTGAAATAAATTATAACAATGGAACCTTAAGGTGGCTTGTTTTTCTTTAAATTAAATTAAATTGTATATATATATATATATATATATATATATATATATATATATATATATATATATATATATATATATATAATCCACACACTGTTTCTCTGTATCACAGCTCATTGGTATGGGTTGACGTCCAGTTACCTCTAGCTAGGAACGAAGCCCAGCTGAATCGACGTTAGTCGGAGATTTTACCCCAAAGCCGGGACGAACGTGAATTTAAGCGTATTTATTTTTGGATAAACACACAGTGACTGAGAGAACTCGATTCGACCTGCTGAAGAGTTTTGCATTATTAGCAGTAATAGTCAGTTTACAAAGTCACACTTCCTCCCCAGAGAGCTCAACCGAAATAAATTGTCATCCACAGACAGACTGTTTCGTTGTATCACAGCTCATCAGTGTGACTAGACGTCCGGGTGTCTCTAGCTATATATATATATACATATATATATATCCTTAGGCACTTAGACCAAATAGAAGCATATACTATCATGCGCGCACACACACACACACACACACACACACACACATATATACATACATAGATACATACATATATATATATATATATATATATATATTGATAGACAGATAGATAGAAATAAAAGTACACAGTTGCTTAATGGATAGCTGCTCGGATTAGCACACACACACACACACACACACACACACACACACACACACACACACATATATATATATATATATATATACGGTAGGTGTATAAGAGAAATTCGTGAAATAGAAAAGTTAATAATATTGTATATTATAATTAATATATAATATTTTATATTATTATGTCTTTAGAAAACCATATGCTATTACACATACTACACACACGTATATATATATATATATATATATATATATATATATATATATATATATATATATATATATATATATATATATATATATATATATATATATATATATATATATATATATATATATATATATATATATATATATATATATATATATATATATATATATATATATATATATATATATATATATATAATATATATATATATATATATATATATATATATATATATATATATATATATATATATATATATATATATATATATATATATATATATATATATATATATATATATATATATATATATATATATATATATATATATATATATATATATATATATGTGTGTGTGTGTGTGTGTGTGATTATATACGATAAAAGAAATTCGTGAAATAAAAGTTAATAAGAATACTATTGTATATCATAATTATTATATAATATTGTATATTATTAAGTCTTTAGAAATAATAAAAAGCATGCTATAACACACACACTATATTAAACATACATTATTATATATAACAGACATTGGATGTCTATTATGTCTGATTATGAACCGTTCTAATTTTCGAATTTCTGGTGAAAATAAAGATCAAAATTAAAGCAAACATTCGAACATTAGAATGGCTCATGATCAGACATAGACATTGTTTGTTATATTTAATAATATATGTGTAAATAATGATCTGCTGCCCCGATACACTATATATATATATATATATATATATATATATATATATATAAAACATTAGGCAGCATATAATTTATATACAAAGAAATAATCACGCTGATTGATTCTATGCGTGATTATTTCTTTGTATATATATACATACATATATATATATATATATATAATATAAGTGGTTAATTCACACACACACACACACACACACACACACACATATATATATATATATCTAATCTAAATGGAATAATAATAAAAAAAACGAAAGAATATTAATCTACAAACCCAGTGTGTCTAATGATTTTAATTTTTAATTTTTATTTTCTTATTGTTCAAAATATATATATATATATATATATATATATATATATATATATATATATATATATATAATATAAATATATATACATATATACATACACATACATATATATATATATAAAATTCCAAGAGGATAGAATCCAGGTAGATAGAAGTCAATGTCTAGGACAGAGTAAGAATAACACTAATATTCCATGGTTATAATTTATTACATTGGAATCATAATTACGTGATTACGGTTCCAATGTAATAAATTATCCATGGAATATTAGTGTTTAAGCTTTTTTATTATATATATATATATATATATATATATAGAGAGAGAGAGAGAGAGTGATATTGTAGGATACACAGTGGTGTAATGAATAACGGCTGGAATTGAGAATATATACATATATATATATATATATATATATATATATATATATATATATATATATATATATATTATTGTCTACATGGCTGTAAGTGACATTTCTTTTATCTGCAATAAGCTGTTGTCGGAGACTCTTTTCACTTGCCTATCCATACACCTACGAAAATATTCATTAAGTTAACTTTGTGTTTTAACACATTTTGAAACATAGCCCCACCCACACATCTCAGTCTTCTAAACCCCAGGTCCCAATCATCACAGTGACCTTATTATTTACCTTTTCCTTCACCTCCACGACATTTCCATTTAATAAATGACTCATAATACAATAAGAAACGTTTCAGTAATGAACTTAATGGATTCCCAAAACGTTATTGGATCTAAATTGGCGCCAATCAAGTTAAAGACTCGCCGTGCGCGTGAAAAGATAAGAGATTTTTAATGAAGTAATTTGAAGACTTCAAACTTTTTAAAAAAAAAAAAATCTTTCTCTTTCTTTCTTTCTATCGTCCTTCTTGTCATTTCTTCACAGAAATAATTCCTTCTTTCCCTGGACTTTCTTTCTTTCTTTCTTTCTTTCTTTCCATCCACCTTTCTTGATTTCTTATTTGCTTGTCAATGCAGAAAATTGTTCACTAGTATTGAAGGAGTGATGTCCGTAAGATATGGACATTTGAAGGTGATAGAACCAAGAAGAAAAATTGCCGGTTGATAGAGAAGCACTTTGAAGAAATATGTGAAATCTCTGCATCTCGATATAAAAGAGTGCCATGTTCGCCTGATTAGAGACGGATTAAAAGCTGATTTTCGTAAATGAGTTGAAATATTTAACGATTAAATCTATGACGTTAAATATTTTTGTAAAACAAGACAAAAAAAAAATTCATGCTTGATTTTGCTTGGATTCGAACCCAAATTTACTCATTTGAAATAGTAAATCTCCCACATTTTGTAAATGTCATGGATGCATTGCATATAAATAATTACTGTGAATAATCTTCGTCACACATCACTATAACGGAAGTGATATTTTTTAAACGGAAGTAACTTTCCATGTCAGCCATTAACGAAGCACTAATTATTCTCTCACCATACAAAAAATTGCCTTAAGAAAAAAATTATTAAAATGGAGGAAATTTTTTTTTTTAAATTAGTTTTAATCTACTTTAAACTTATATTTTATCTCTTAAATCAAGTTTCTATGTTTATTTGTTTAAGTCGTGATGTTAACATCGAAAAACATTATTCACGCAAAATGTCTCTTGCGACAGATGGACTCTAAACCGGCTGCTCTCCTTAAATGACATCTTACGTCAAATCCATTGTGTTCTATTTGAGAGTCAGTTTTTTTATAAACATTTGCTAGCATCATAACCTTGGCTAATATGTCTCTAATGTCCCGTATAAGCGGCGTAGAGGGGCGAATTGGTAAACCAAGGAGGAACAATGATTAATGGGTAAACCCAAGAAAAAAGATTTAATATGTTTTTCTAAGGTCCTACCATTAAAATATTGGTGTAGACAGCCATGAAGGGATATGGGACCCACATATATATATAGAGAGAGGACCAAACTATTTCTGTTGGTCCAGTCGTCTTTCGATGAATGCTTTGAAGCTTGGCACAAAACTGCAAATCACCCATCAATACCTTCCGTGTTTTATCTTTACAAGAGTCAGATTAGAGCCCCCCCTCAAAATCGAACATTACTGTCATATCAAGGCTGGGCTGTTCTGCCCTTTCATTTCAGCCTTGACAGAGTTCCAAATCGTCTACGGTGTCTTATTTTCTGACCTAGACTAAAAGTTGCAAGCTTGTCGCTAATTCCATGGTAGGTATGCAGATGAGCCCCACTCTTTAGTTCCAACAGTGCAGACCTTTACTGCTAGAACACTCTATACTTCAACTACGGAAGCAAATCGGCCTCATTTACCCCGTATTATTGTGAAATAGACATCTGCGTGGTTGCTTCACAGAACTCTTCAAGTCAGACAACAATCGGCTTCTTAGCTTTATCAGCTTCAGTTTTTACCACTTCCTTTTTTTCGTAAATAACAGGTCAGTCATTATCTATCCTCCTTATCCTCATAATCTTCAACTCCTACCCATCTCCTCATTCATTCATATCATACACCTCATTCATCATGATAACTTTAACGCTAACCCTATACATTACAATCTGCACCTCGTCAAGTCAGGGTCAATCAATATCTATCCTCCTTATCCTCATAATCTTCACTTCTTACCCCCTCCTCTTTCATTCCTATCACACACCTCATTGATCATAACCATCTTAACAGTAACCCCCTACACTAAAATCTTAACCTCTTCAAGTCAAGGGTCAATCAATATCTATCCTCCTTATCCTCATAATCTTCAATTCCTACCCCCTCCTCTTTCATTCATATCACACACCTCATTGATCATAACCATCTTAACAGTAACCCTCTACACTACAATCTTAACCTCTTTGAGTCAAGGGTCAATCATTATCTATTCTCCTTATTCTCATAATATACACTTTCTCGGACCTCCTCTTTTATTTATATCACACACCTCATTCATCATAACCATTCTAGCAAAAAATCTCTACTTTGAGTGGCTCTTGTGACTTGTATTATGTGAATTTAGTATTTACAAATACTTCTAGGGCTTAGTTAATCCCATATCGAATTTAAGCATACGAACTTATAAACCCGGCTTTTTTTTGTTGTTAAAAATCTAGCGTTAGAAATTACGATTTTGTTTGACTTTATTATTTTCACGGATTAACAACTTTTTACGGATGATCAACTTTTTACGGATTATCAAAGGCCGAATCATTTTTGGGATTGTAAGAATATCTTTTTTTTTGCGAGTAAATATTGTATCAACAATCTTTAGCGAATAACCCTGACTCTTACAGTCACAAGACCTGCTATTTAACCATAAATGGGGAAAGAGATGGATTCATAGCTTTCCTAAAGGTACTTGCGCGTAAGTAGTCCTGGGTTTGATGATAAGCTCCATCCAACAGCAAGACCTCTGATCGAGAGATTGGAAGTTTTGAGGAGCGTGAAACCACCTTTTAATTGCTGTTGTTCCTAGGTCTACCCTGCCCCAGGGTGGTAGCACCTGTTAGGGTCCCAACTATGGGCAAATAGTGAACCCCCAAGCAAAAAAAAAAAAGAAACAAAAGAAAAAAAAGGCTATGAAATTAGAAAAAAATACGTATTTATAGTAAAAATACCAGCAATAGATTTTTATATTAAAAGAATTACCAACAATATATTTACAGTGTTGTAACCTAGGTAAGGTTACTGAATAGAATAATCAAACAAAGGTTGGTAATGAACAATAATACTTAGGACAAGAACAACACGTATAAGATTCGCCAGCGGCGCGTAGAAGTAGTAGTTAACTGCTAGAAGTGAGTCAAGTGAATTCCACAATGAATCTCCAACTGCAGGATATCTAAAACCGCCCCACGCGGTCAGATATGGCACAAGGCCGAATTTAATGTGGGGTATCCGAGCCCGTAGGTTCAGCCAAAAATTCCCCGTAGACCCCGTATAAAACGGGATCAGGTAGCTGTTTCCCGAGACGACACTCTGCCCTTCGACATAGCCTCTTCTGGGGATCCTCTCCGCCCGGAGGCAGAGAGTTTGACCAGTACATCTGGAGACGAATCTCAAACTACAGACCAACATACAGTATTTACTACTGTATTTATGTGAATATCCATTATTGTCCGTAGGTTTGCTACAACATATAGTAAAATGATCAACAATATATTTTTCTAACAAAATGACCAGCAATACATTTTATCGTAGAACTAACAGCAATACATTTTATAGCGAAATGACCAACAATATATTTTATCTCTATTTGAAGGCATACAATTGCGTTCAAAATATATTTAGTTGAAGCCATACAACTGCATTCAAAATATTTAGATTTGAGCATTAAATAACTGTTGTGGTAGGATCCACCTAATTTACATAGTGGAGTACCGACCATATAAATATGGTTGGTACCGGGAAGAAGGGGGGGGATCAAGAGATTCAATCCAGAGACTCTGCCCGACTGCGACTAAGTTAACACATTCTCCAGGAAAGGTCTTCCCAGGAATATACAAAAGACTATATGTAAATATTGTGTACACTTTCTTGTTTCAATACATTTTGTTCTAAGTACATTTTGTGTTGTATTATTATTCCATGCATTAGTCAAGTTTCAACAATAACCCATAAAGGTGTTTATGCGCCGCGAAGCGAAAGTAGCCCACCAAATAATCAACATGAAAGAGCTCTTTCTTGGCATTAATCCATATAAAAATGATCAGTGGAAAATGTCATGAAGCCATTTCTGACCTTAGATTTCTTGTTGGGACCCAGACGGAAATATGTACACAACAGAAATCAAAGGAAATAATAATAATAATAATAATAATAATAATAACAATAACATGATTGACATAACTCTTTCAATATTTTGCAACTTAGAGAAGAGCTAGAATTAAGAAAAGACACACTGTTTAACCATATTTAGTAATATTTCGACAGTATGTTTCTCTTCAAGTTATGTTTGAAAAGTGTATACAAGTATTAAAATATATTTTAGATATAGAAGTCCTTGTACAAGCATATCTTGTCATGTGGAAGAACGGTTGTAGTGGTAATCAACGCGTCAAAGCTAGCTAATCAACAAATAATATAATATCCCATAATTTCTTAAAGAAATCGAACTGTATTCCAAAATATAACTTCAACAAAACTACAACATAAAACACACATATCACCGCCTCTAGTAATTATATCCACACAATGTATATTCACAAAAGCTGAGTATCATCTACCATGTATTCGATTGTGAAAGCAGAATAACATATATCATATTTTTATTACTTCAAAACACCCAAGAAAATTAAATTTCGGCATTAAATGACCCATGATGAGTTGATGTGCCATCAAACAGACAAATAACAAATCAATCAATTTGGGCGTAAGAGAATGTAACGAACCAGAGTAGTAATCGAACTTGGCTTTCCGATCGATTACACGAATCACACATCCCTGAATGTAGGTAAATAAAATTCTATCTATCTATCTATCTATCTATCTATCTGTTTGTCTGTCAGTGTTCATAAATATCTATCTTAGTCTTTTCATATCTCTCTCTCTCTCTCTCTCTCTCTCTCAATTTTTATATCGATCTCAGTCTTCCCTATCTATCTATCTATCTATCTATCTATCTATCTATCTATCTACTTCAGTCTATTACTTATCTATCTATCTATCTATCTATCTATCTATCTATCTATCTATCTATCTATCTACTTCAGTCTATTATCTATCTATCTATCTATCTATTAAACTATCTATCTCAGTCTATTTATCATTTATCTATCTACTTCAGTCTATTCATTATCTATCTATCTATCTATCTATCTATCTATATATATATATATATATATATATATATATATATATCTACTTCAGTCTATTCATTATCTATCAATCTATGTATCTATCTATCTATCTATCTATCTATCTAATTCAGTCTATTCATTATCTATCTATCTACTTCAATCTATCTATCTATCTATCTATTTATCTATCTATCTATCTTCATTGAACTGTTGTTTTATGTTCGTACGGTTAAGGAGAAAGGATAATAAATCCGTAGGCCAATTAAAAAAAAGACAAATATTCACTTTTCAACATAATCTCCTCCTCTGTCAATGCTCTCAAATTATTCCACATTGGTCAAACATTCTACCAAGCTACTGATATACCAATCCATACTTATTAAACCGTATATTTATTTCTTTTCGTCCACCGGCTAAATATTCTCGACATCATATTAAAGAAAAAAAAAAGTGTTCTCCGGCAGGATTCGAACCTGCGTCTGTCTAGGCAGAAGGAAAACGTCGTTAGATTTGAAGTGCCTTAACCAATTCGGTCACAGAACATCCTTGAGGCTCAAGTAAATTTCGAACAGTGCCTTTTTTGTGATGTCAACGAATACTCGTTGTCACTTTCGTAATGCTCGTTGTAGTAGAGACTTTGTAATCGCAGATACAACTATAGTAACGCCATTGAACAATACTAGTGTCAGACGGCTTGAAATAACACTCGCACTAAAAGTAACCAACGAATAGTGATATGAATAAAATAGTATAGTGAATAGAGTAGAGAATAGCGTTACGAACAGTAATAGAGGATAGAATAGAAATAACGATCGTCACGCGACTTCTTATATGTTGTATCCTTAAAAAGGTTACAAACAGAAAAAGGTGTTACTCGAGTGGAATGGACAACAACACGGGCGTAGATGGAAGAAAGAGAGGTTTATTGTAAAAGAGAATACACTACTGAAAGACAGGGAATCGACTAACACTTCCCGAAGCCAGTCAGGTAGATAAACAGACATATAGACAGACTCTGGTATGCCCTGTGCACACTACATATATTACTGATATAGTCAGTCCACAATAGGCAATAGGGAGTGTGGGACATTCCATTACAACACCTCCTCCCCCGAGCTAATTTTCCTATGAAATTGTGCTCAATACCTTTTTTTTTTCTTTTTGGGGTCAGGACTTAACAGTTTTATTTTTTTCCTCTTCCTAGTACTTTTCCGTCTAACCAGTTTTCGTGCTGGTGAGACTTAAGGCATTAGGGGTTTGTCGGAGAACTGATACTTCCGGCTCTGGCGGGGTTGGCGATATTTCCATCAGTACTAGTCGAGATATGAGAACTCGTATTTCAAATGTGTCATATATTACCTCCATAGGTAATTCTTCCCTAGTCTTTCGTATGTCTTGGCCTTAATTGATATAAATGTCTCTTACACTCAAATCTTCTACCTTTCAGCACTATATCTAAGCGTTTCCTCTATGGTCACGTGTTTTACTCAATTTAATAATGGGATCGCCTGTGTTTGCTCACCGGCGATCTATGTTCAAACTCAAGTGTCGGCAGCGACACTTTATTCCTATATAACAGATATACAAATCTTATTCGGTTATGTTTCGGTTTTAAATAACCTAAGGGTGATAAGCCATAAAAAACCCCCAATCAATCACTTTTATTCGGTACTTATTGTAATACCATTATCGTCTTAGATTTAGTGAAAGATGCAAATAAGCATTAACTGCAGATGACGGAAATTTCCGTCATTGAAGTTTTACGGGGAAATAGAACCGGCCGGCAATTGAACTGATTCTCACTGAGTGCACTATAATTATAGCATTGTGCCAAACGGCCGTTACATCCACCAAGTAGATGGTCTGAGACACTTTCAATAGCGGTAGAAACACAGGTAGAATTCGGCGAATCGATTATACGAGAGAAAGGAATATTGACTGTCTGACAATATTCTCTGACCTTTGAACACATCGTATCAGGCACTGGGGACCCGTCCATCAATCAGCACCTCACAATGCATTTAACGGTAAAAGTAAGAACATTTCTTGATTTTAGCCGTTCCAACTGAGCTGTTTGCAAGCATTTTAAAATAATTTACTTTTGATTTTATATAATCTAACGATAATATACGTTGGTTTGTTTTGTTTTACGGTGTATCAATCTCAATGGGTTATTTAATGCCAACAACATTTTTATTGCTGGTAATAATTTTTTTTTTTTTTCAAAAATTTATTGCTGGTAATAATCTTTTACAAAAATGTATTGCTGGTATTAAAACCTATTTTTACACTTTTTTTTTTTTACACACTTACATATAGTTTTGACTCCAGTTTTGGGGTCAACTATTTGCCCAGAGCTGGGACCTTTAACAGGTGCTACCACCCCGGGTTAGGGGGTATCTGGGAACAGTAAAAAAAAATAAAACTCCTGATCATAGGCCTTACTGCCAGATGTAATTTATCGCCTTACTCAGGACGAGGATGTAGCTTGTTGTCATACCGAGAACGTACGATAATATACAGTGATACACAGTCATGGGCAAATTTAAAAATTGTCTCATTTTTTTTTAAAATCAACATATCTTAATTATAACTATATATCAATTAATAAAAAAAACTTTATTAAACTAATTACAATCACTTTCAAAATTTTTGACAAGTTGGAATTTTTAATTAATATTTTCATTCCAAGGACACATGGCCCAGTGTATAAAGACGTTGGTTAGATCAAGTGACTAGACGCAAAGAGTTGTGAGTTCAATACGAAGCCACAGCAGTGGTAAACCAAACTTCGAGAGTTGAGTTAAAGAGAAATAACTGAAACATCCGGAAGAGGCATGGCACGTGGAACAAGAACAATCTACCCCGGTGGACGAAATAAAGGGTTCGGTTCGAAATTCCAATCCCCTGAAGAAGGCCTGAGCGCACAACAGCCGAAATGTTGTGAATATGGTAATAACAGTCCGAATAATGCAAGTAAGCATAATACCTCATGTCAGAGATGTAGACAGATATTAATTAAGATTTGTTGATTATGTGGAAAATAGACAATTTTTTAAAGAGTATTATCTTAAGGGGTTCACTTATTTTGCACGTCACTGTATATTGGCCTGACGTTATATATATATATATATATATATATATATATATATATATATATATATATATATATATATATATATATATATATATATATATATATATATATATATATATATATTTTATATAGTGCAGTACTTATTAGAAAGCGCTCAATATCAGTGATGGAGCTAACATATTCAGCCGTATGGATATGAATTTGTTACCCTGGGTTTCACGCTATTTGCGATCATCAGATAAACTGGTTTATTTTTAAAAAATTGAATCTATTTATGCTTGTTTGTGTTTGATTATGTTTGATGGGGGCAAAATTCTTCTCTGTGTCAGTTTGGGATGACATTCTCACATACACTGACATACATATATACAGGTGTACGCATTTTAGTTCGCACAAACACATACACATATAAACAATTTGAGATTAGGCGCAGATACACACACACACACGCGCGCATATATATATATATATATATATATATATATATATATGAAGAAAAATATATACGGAAAAAACAAACAAAAATCCTTATATACAATTATGCTGTTTTAATGTTAATATGTCAACGTCGGACGTTTCGGTCTAATAAACCATCTTCAGGACATATTCATAAATTATACCATTATCAATACAACATGACAAAGACGATGTACATAAGACATATTAACATTAAAACAGTATAAATTGTATATAAGGATTTTTCTTCATACTGTCGGATCTATATATTTGCTTATATATACATATATATAACGTCATCCACAGAAAGATTGTGTCGCAGCTCATCAGTGTGGCTAGACTTCCGGTTGCCTCGGATCGAAACCCGACTGAATTGGTGTCAGTCGGAGATTCTAGCCATTAAGCCGTCGGCGCGCGGTTGGGATGAAAGTGGATTTTTTAGCGTATTTATTTTTAGAAACACGCCCAGTGACCGATATATATATATATAAGCATTTCACCCCAAGCAAGAAGGCGGGAGTTACAGAGAATGAGAGCAAGAATAAAGAGGGGGGTTTGAGGAAAGGATATAGAGAAGGACGGGGATCAGGATCAAGGCATCAGAAGATGTCGATTGACATTACACTTGAATATATGAAGATTATAGTTATCAGGGAAACAAGTAAGAGGAAGGGAGTTCCACTGTCGGGAAGTGCGAGAGAAGAAGCTGTTGGAGCAGAAGAGGCTGTTACATTTAACTGTTTCGACAGTGAAAACGTGGGACCGGGATGCCAACTTGGAAGCCCACTTAAATTCATGCAGTTGGGGCACCAGTAAAAACAGCTCGTCAGAGCAGTTGCCATGAAAATATTTAAATAGAAAAGACAGAGGGAAGCCACATCACGTCTGTGAGGAAGTAGTCGAGATGCCAGGTCAGGACCTATCACATTGCATATGTACTTTAAATTGGCGATATAGGTAAATGACATGGCTGTTTATCCTAGTACCTGATCGAAGAAAAGGATGAAAAGAGACAATGAAAGAGAGAAGGAAAGTAGAGAAAGGATAAAAAATGATCAGAGATAGAAAGATAGTGAGAGAGGGAGGGGAAAGATAGGAAGAGAGAAGAATGAAGTGATAGAGAGGTATAGATAAATAGAGAGGTATATAGAGAGATATGGAGAGAGAGAGAGAGAGAGGTGGGGGGAGAGTACGATAGTACGATCGAAAGAATTTGCTTCTTGTCAAAACGGGCGAAACGAGACAAAGAAATTGAAAGAGAGAAGGAAAGCAGAGAAAGAAAGGATAAAAAATAATGGTGAGAGATAGAAAGATAGAGAGAGAGAGAGAGAGAGAGAGAGAGGGGAGAGTAGGAAGAGAGATAGATAGAGTGATAGATAGATAGAGAGAAGGAGAGAAAGAGTGAGATTTGCTCCTTGTCAAAACGTGGAGATTTAAAGAGAACGAGATGTCGATGAAGATGGAGAAATTTGCTGAAGAAGAAAAAAAAATCAAACGAATTTCAAGTTTTATTTATTCATTTATTAATTCTTAAAATAACACTTTGTGAAAAATGAAGTTTTCAAATGACAGGGAACAAAATGAAAAAAATCTGTGAAAATATTCGTTTCCCGGCCTGTATTAATTTCATGTTTTTTAAACAATTTAACATTG